ACACACTGCCGGGTAGCTCACCACCGTTGTGCTCACAGGTCGATCGGACAAACAGGGAGCTTGGAAGAAAGGAGTACGGGCTCGCCGGAATATTTGCTCCCCGTACAATTAGCTTTTCAAATTGTCCCATAAAGGGAAAGGTAGCACCAACTAAAAAAAATAAAAAAAAAAAACAGTTTCCAAAAATGGAAATTAGGGGTATTAGGGGCAACTTTTTTAGGGCCACCAATCATTTTCCATATATATATGGGTTACTAGATAAGGAATAAAACTTCAATACAATACTATTCATCATTGACACGTGATCATTATTATGATTTCTTTTTTTTTTTCTTGACCTGAGATCAAACTAACATTAATTTCAGCATACTTTTGTTTGCCAAAAATTTAGGAATACAAAAATTAAGGACAAAATTAGACACGATCCTTCTCATGAGCTGCGTTTCACATTTTCTGGGATTCCACATCTATATAGAAAAATTACATACAATTATGGACATAATGCTTCCGTGTGTGTACCTATGGACCATTAGTTATGACTTTTTGGTGTTTGGTTATGGTGATGTTAATTATAATTTTAAAAGTCATTTGGTTATACTTCAAAATCATGCTACAAACTCAGAATTTTATGTTCAAAATTTATCCAGAATTTTTAACATATGGTTCAGATTTATTTTACATATAGACCCCACAATACACTCATCTGATCTCCACCATTCATCTGCATTCTAGGTAAATTCTGGTACCCATTTTTTGGATTCCTAGATTAATTCTTATGGTAATCAAATCAATAAATATTATAATTTATATATGATACACACATTTTTAAATCAAAAAAGGCCCACTCACACAATGAAATGACATTTGAGACTAGACCTTAAGACCTCGTTTGATTGTTAGGATTGAATATAAGAGTTTGAAGAGGATATGTAATACTTAAGTAGAAATATAGAATATGATATGTTATAGAATATGAGATGGATTATATATACTATAGAGTCACTTATATTATATTTGGTTAAAATATGATATAAAATGGGATAAGATGAGAGATTTTTGTTGACTTTTAAATGAAAGATTCCCTATATCGAACAGTGAGAATATACAATATCATGGAGATGGTATTACATATTTTCTTTTTGCATAATATATTAACCAAACTCCCTATATAGAAATAAAAAAATATGTGAGACTCCTTTCATATTATATCTAATCAAATATTCATATCAATCCCTCATATACGGTAAACAAGTAGAGTCTAAGAACATCCTCATCAAGCTCTTTAAAATCATTTTTTAGCTAATAAACTTCAAAAAATCAACTCCATCAAACTCGCTTACAGCTCGTCAAAATTTACGATAGTTACAGTAACTCGTTACAACAAGCGAGACATTGTTCATCGCTACTTGTGTGTTACCGGATGTTTGCCCGGAAGTCCGGCCAGTCAACCGGTCAACGACAAATTTTTTTTTTTTTTTTTAAGAATTGTTTGACTGGTAACTTATTAATTTAATAAAAAAAGAAAGACTAACAAACAAAATAAGAAAAAAAATATTTAATAAGAATAAATTAGAATAAGTAACTAATTAAAATAACAAAATAATTTTAATTTGACTAAAAATTTAAAAAGATTAAGCTTGGTTTGGGGTGTCCTAAAAAAATATATTTTTTGTCTTTTTATGAAAATATGTACAGAAAAATAGAGAAGTGATGCGATGAAAAAAAGATAAAAAAATAAAAAAATAAATTATATAAATTATACCAAACGAAGTCTTAGTGTGAATGCTCTATGGAGCCGATGCGCCAAAGAGGTCTCCCTTTTGTACCATTAGTTGCAAGAACTGTTTATTTGTACTCAATTAGCAGACTACTTTCTTTACCACGTGTTTGACTTTTAAGGATATAGAGAGACTTTTGTACCATTACTTTTGAAGTGCCGGTCTTTCGAAGAATTGAATTTTTGTTTTTATTTTTTATTTTTAATTTTTAACTTTTTTGTTAAGTCTGATAATCTTTCAATCTGTGAATACAATTAAGATGTCGAAAGTCTGTAATTTTTCAATCTGTGTCAATACATTTGAGATATCTATCCTACGTGTAAAGAAAAAATTAACTTGTGGTTCATAATTATTATGAGATAGAATTTAAACTATATATTAATTTTTGGTGATGTTACGTTGAATTTGGTTTCACTTGAATTGTTTGAATTTATTCACTATAAAAAATTAAAATTTTGACAATCGAAATTTGGGGATAAAATAATTTTTTAAGGATCAAATATTTTTTTTGTAAAAAGTATCATCATTATATTTTTAGCAATGAAAATTAGACATTAGTGATGAATTATTATCTTTTTGAAACCAAATTTTTTGTCTAAAAAAATAAATCATTTTGAGACCAAATTATTTTGTCTCTAAAAGTGTATTTATTAGTGTCATTTTCAAAATTTTGCCACTAAATGCCTTACTTTTGAATTTTCGGGATGACCTTTTAACGACTATCTTCATGATGATAAAAATTGGTCCATAAATGCTTTTTGTGACAAAATTTTTACTTTTAGAGACTAAAAAATTTGATTTTTAAAACTCTTATATGTTGTAGTAGTTGATGCTAGTTGTTCGGATGATAGGGTGACGATCGAGGTAGACGAGAATGAAACGGATTGTCCAACCAGACGACTAGCATCAACAAATTTGGACAATTTCAGACGACAACAATTCAGTAGATAAATCATTTCACATTAATTTTAAAGAAATGTTTAGAAATCCTATATGAATTACCAAATATTTATGTGTGTGAAACCTATATGTGTTCCATGGGTGTGGGTCTCACCCATATAAATATTTAGTAATTCATTTGAGATTATACTATAGCATGTCTGTTAATTTTATGCATATTTTCCTTCGTCTTAGATCAAATCCTCCTTGAGTTTGGCGATGAACTTCTAGTAAATTGGGTTGATGAAAATATTTCGAGTTAGGTTAGAATATTTTTTTTTTAAATTTTAAAAGGCAATATTTGAACCTACTAGATCGTATATAATGAGTTACAATAAATTTTCTTTTAGGATAATATGAAACTTCATTTAATAATTTTCTGTCTACATATACAATGATGAGGACGCAATAGAATACCTACAAAAATTATGACCCAGAAGAACCGGTGCCTGATATTATATTTCTGTAGTTAAAAAAATCAGAATAAGAGAGCGAGATTGAATTGCACTTATGGTCCATAATCATTATTAAGTATGGTAACACTACACTTATAATGAAATTACATTTTGTATGCACTTTTAACTTTTGACGAAGAAAAACTTAAATGGTACGTGTACATAAAAAATCACACAAACTGTATAGAGAAATTAATGTCAGAGAAATTAATGTGTGACCGATAATCATTAATAGGATTAATTTAGAACATACATACTTTTTTGTTTACTTTCTTTCACATTTTAGTTTTTCCAAATTTTTGTGAACAGAAATATCTATGCTACACGCAAAAAAAATAAAAAATAAAAAATACACAAAAGATTAATGTGTGGTCCATATTTATTATAGTGGAATCACACCAGGGCACACATTAATTTTGTGTGAATGACAATTTACACAAAAGATTAATGTGCGGTCCCTCTTTAGCATGACTTGGAAAAAGACCGGCATAGAACAGTAGGATGACTTTGAGGATTTAGCAGAATGACAATTTACGTCATTGTTTTTATATTGCAGGTCTTTTCAATAATGCAATCAGTGAGTGTTACTTTTGAAGTTTCTTCTTTCTGTGTCCATACTTAAGCTAAGATAGCATTTTGCAAAAATTCTTAGAATCTTGCAGTCAATATGTTTAAGCTTTTTAGGGTACTCCGATTGTTTATCCTTCTGTGTGTTTGCATGCCCACTAGTATCATACTAGGTGGAAATGAGACCGATCACTTAGCCATGCTTTCAATGAAGGCTCAAATAACTCGTGATCCAATGCTAGTCACAAGCTCATGGAACGATTCTCTCCATTTTTGCCAGTGGGAAGGTGTTTCATGTGGTCGTCGCCATCAAAGGGTCATTAGCTTGAATTTAGCGTCGCGCAATTTAGAAGGTTCTATATCTCCTTCCATTGGAAACCTTAGTTTCCTCAGAATCGTTAATCTCTCAAACAATAGCTTCCAAGGTGAAATTCCTTGTGAAATGGGAAGGTTATTTAGGCTGCAAGTTCTAGACTTGAACAGTAACTTGTTTGGAGGACAAATTCCAGCAAGCCTCTCAAACTGCAGTAACTTGAGGGTCCTTCGTTTGAGCAACAACAAGTTGATTGGAAATCTTCCTAAAGATGCTTTCACTCAATTAGTGCAACTTCATATGAGCTCCAACAATTTGTTAGGATCAATACCGCCTTCTTTTGGGAACCTTTCCACTCTCAAACTTTTCTTAGCACAAAAGAATTTGTTGGAGGGAAGTATTCCAGACTCACTTGGTAGCTTGAAAAGCTTAACATATGTTTCATTATCGGCAAATAAGCTAACAGGTACCATTCCTCCATCTATCTATAATATCTCATCATTGACTGCTCTCGAGGCACCAAATAATCTACTTGAAGGGAGTCTTCCTCAAAATTTAGGCCTCACTTTGCCAAATATCAAAAGGCTTAATCTTTGGGGAAACCAACTAAGTGGATCGATTCCGGTTTCAATATCAAATGCTTCAAAACTAGAACACCTTGACTTATCGCTGAACAATTTTTCCCCTGGAGTGGCTGTTAATTTTGGAAACCTAATGAATTTCTCGTGGTTGAGTTTATTTACGGCAGGTTTGGGAACTGGGGATGCTAATGACCTTGATTTCGTTTCCACTTTAGCCAACTGTAGCAAATTGAGTGTGATAGAATTACAAGAAAATAATTTTGGAGGTGTTTTGTCAAATTCCTTAGCCAACTTCTCAACCAAACTCCAATATTTAACTGTGGCAAAAAACAAGATATTTGGAAGCATACCAGAAGATATTGGAAATCTTGTAAGCTTAAATGCTCTAGATATGCACTACAATCAATTGACAGGAAGCATTCCAAACTCTATCGGTAAACTTGATAAGCTTCAACAGTTGGGCTTTGGTAAAAACAAATTGTCCGGAGAAATCCCTTCCTCCATTGCAAATTTAACATTGTTGACCAAGCTTTGGTTAGAAGAAAATCATTTTCGGGGAAACATACCTTCAAGTCTTGGAAATTTCTTGGGTTTGATAGAGCTGCATCTTAATGGTAATAATTTGTCTGGTAGCATACCGCGAGAAGTAATTGGTCTCTCATCTTTGTCTATATCTTTGGACTTGTCTGGAAACCGTCTAACTGGTCCCATTCCTTTGGAAGTCGGTAACTTGAGAAATCTTGTTGAACTAAATCTTTCTTATAACAAGTTATCTGGTAAAATTCCTACTAGCCTTGGTAGCTGTCATACTTTGGAATACCTTTATTTGGACAACAATGCATTAATAGGAGCCATTCCACAATCCTTGAGTTCTCTAAAGGGTATTGAAGAATTAGGTCTTTCCCACAATAACCTCACAGGTGAAATTCCTAAGTTTTTAAATAGCTTTCCCTTTCTAAGCATTTTAAACCTTTCTTTTAATGATCTTGAGGGAGAGATACCTACAGGGGGAGTGTTCCAAAATGCAACTGCAATTTCAGTTTCGGGAAATAACAAGCTTTGCGGTGGTATACCTACACTACAAATGCAGTCATGTGCTTCGAAAAATGCAAGAAAGTTAATTATTCCTATAGTTTGTGGGGTATTGGGTATAGTTTTTGCATTATCTGTTCTATTGCTTTGTTGGCTTAGAAAGATGAGAAAGCAATCTATTGTGGCATCTTGTTTGATGGATTCTTCTATGGATATGTCATATAGAGAGCTCTTCAAAGCAACAAATGGGTTTTCTTCAGACAACTTGATTGGTAGCGGAAGTTTTGGTTCAGTATACAAAGGAATTCTTCACCCAAATGAAAAGGCTATTGCGGTGAAGTTATTCGATCAAGAAAATAGAGGAGCTTCAAGAAGTTTTATCACTGAATGCAAAACTTTGGGAAACATCAGGCATCGAAACCTCGTCAAGATTATAAATGCTTGTGCAAGTGTTGATTTCCAAGGTAATGATTTCAAAGCCCTAATATATGAGTTTATGGAAAATGGGAGCCTTGAAAGTTGGTTGCATCCAACTCCACAAACAAGTGTTGCCCATAAACAACCAAGAAGTTTAAACCTTTTTCAGCGATTAAACATAGCAATTGATGTGGCTTCTGCTTTGAATTATCTTCACAATCATTGTGACAACACGATCATACATTGTGATATAAAGCCAAGCAACATTCTTCTTGACAGTGACATGACAGCCCATGTTGGTGATTTTGGTTTAGCAAGGCTTTTACTACAACCCAACAATGAACTTTCAAAAAGCCAAACTAGCTTTGTCGGTATAAGAGGAACCACTGGATATGCAGCACCAGGTAATCCACCATATATGCCTATGAAAATGTATTTTGTGTGACCAATATACTGAGGTGGTGTAGCGATGCCTCTAACAATATCACCTCAGTGTCCTAGTTATGCAAACTATCACCCCTATTTTTAAACGTGTAGATGCATTTGCAAGTACAAATTAAAATTTATCATATGTGCATTGCAGAATATGGCATGGGGAGACGGGTATCCATTCATGGTGATGTATACAGCTATGGAATCCTCTTGTTAGAATTGTTCACAGGAAAAAGACCCACTGATGACATGTTTATAGATGGCTTGAACCTTCACAGATTAGCCAAAATAGCTTTGCCAAAAAGTGTGATGGAGATTGTTGATCAGAAACTTATATCAGTTGTAGAAGAGGAGGAAACAAGCAAAGCAAATTCCAAGACACAAATGGAAAGGAAAAAATTCATTGAGTGCTTAATTCTGATACTCAGGGTTGGAGTTGAGTGCTCTGAAGAATCACCAAGAGAAAGAATAACCATTGTTGATGCGACTAAGAAACTACATTTAATTAAGGAGATGCTACTTGGGAGAAGGATTTCCACCAATGTGCAAATTGCTTAAATCGAGTAATTAAGGTACTCTCTTTAGGTGTTGGCCCTTTAAAATTTTCTTTACAATTATGCCATTTGCATACAAATAAATCGCAAAAAGTTTCACGAGAGAGAAACGAAAGGGTGTGGGCGCTCTTGTGAAACTTTCTGTGTTTTATTTATATATAAGTATACATTTTCTTTCTCTTTCATATCTGATTAATTCATACATCATTAGATTGTATGATATCTACAACAATGCTACGCAAGTTTGCATTTTGTTTTTGTTATTTATTTATTTTTTATATCGTTGTTATGTTAGAGAATAGACTAATATATGCTTGAGTTAATTTGTCACTTGATTTTTGCTTTTGGTTAATTAATATATGAGGTTCTATTCTCTTCTAGCTGATTTTGGTTTAGCTTTGATTAATATCACCTTCCAGAATAATTTTGATTCATTAGACTCAAATATTCAAATAAATTGAAGAAACTGTAAAAGCTCTAGAAAGGAACAGTCAAGAAAGAGGATACACCTATATTTCACGAAATAATATTAGAAATAATGAATTTTGTATAAAATTTTCATATAAAATAGGGTAAATTATATTGGTGGTTTCTACATTTTGCTCCTTATATCATTTTGGTTCCTACACTTTCAATTGGCACAATTTTGACTTTTAATTCTAAATTTGTGTTAATTTGGTCAAATTGATAATGTCATTAGTATTTTGACTGAAAATAATCATCTAATTGGTTGAGATTAACTCACTGAGGTTAGTAAATTTATAATTTTACTTTAAAAAATATGACACATGCCACTTATATGCATATTTTTCATAAAAAATGCTAAGAATTGGAATCAATTGGATTAAATTGAAACAAAATCATAAATTTAGGCTAAAAATCGATTCAATTGAAATTAAAGTGACCGAAATAACATAAGGACTAAGTATAAGGACAACTTTCGCAATTTATCTTATAAATAATCTGTCTAATTATGATAATTCATAAAATTATTTTATGAGTAATGAATTTTGTATAAAATTTTAATACAATACGATGTGGTTGATTGTGGGCCTTTTGTCTTTCATTGTAAGTCTAATCACACACAATTGTAGATTACAAATTTTGGTAGTGATACAGTCATATCATTCAAAATTAGATTTTTATATAAAATTTTTGTTTGAATACCATGTCTTGTATTTTTAAAAATTATCATATCTACATGTTTGTATATGTAACGTCCCAAATTTCTAGCTCAAATGATAATACAACAATCATGGTTCTTTCAAGGAAAACTGACTATAAATCTCCAAACTTACATTACATGATACAATAGTTCTTCATGCAACAATACATTAATCCAACAACAAGTAAATAAACAAATAAATACCCCCAAGGGGTTTACAAGTTTCCAATACTTGAGCCTGGTTACACAAAATGGTTATTCAAACCCACACAAACACAACCCTTAGCTTACATACAGAGCCACAACGAAATAAGAGCATTATACTCCCAACATACATACTTCCACGCCCCTAGTTGGATGGGATTACCACATCTTTTCCAGCACAAAAATCCCGTAGGGTGAGCATAAAGCCCAGTAGAAAATTCTTAACAAAGTATATACATTTTATACAAGTCTCAAGAGATGAAATGCACATGCATGCTATGCCCTTTTTGAAGATAAATCACATTTTCATCTTTTGAAAACCATCATGCTCAATGATATCATGCAATTTCAATTGTTCAAAACTTAACAATTTATTTCAAGGGCGGTAAATACGATTCTGGTAATCCCTAAGTCGGTGTCTGCAAGTAAACTATACAAGTACTACCAATTTGGCATTTTTACCAGCATTGACTGGAAGGCTCGGCACCTATAATCTGTCATTTTTACTAGTATTAACTGGAAGGCTCGACACCTATTCAATTTCATCTACACCACCTGTTAAGACTTACCACCGTATTTACCTCAAAACCAATTCATGGAAACTTGTTTCTCAACATTCTTTTCTCAATGCAAGTTTTCAAATCAACTTTTCAAGTTTAATGTAATCAAATGAATTGATATGCCAATAACACAAGATGAATATAAATACTTTTATTCCAATTTATCATTCAAGGAATAACACAATTCTCTCTTCTCAAGTATCCTCAACAATTAGTCATTTCAAGACTATTTCAACGTTTTGAACAATAATTTTCAAAATGAACAACAATTCTCATATTTCCTTAAATTCATCAATTATATAAATATAAATAAGAAAATTTCCAAACATCAATTTATTTTGACACACAAAATAAATATAACAATATCATTCATGGATTTTTAGTCTCTTAAAAAACAAAATCCCCAAATTCTAGGTTTTCTCACCAAAACTATACAACTCAAATCATTTGAAAGAAAACTTTCCAAAATCATCTTTTCTTCAATCAACAAAAATCAAAACCCATAAGATCATTTTAAAAGAACAAGAGACAAACCCATTTTTAAAATCGCTCAACTTCTTGAATTAACTATCAATTTTCAAAGCTATCGAAGGATGATTTCGAAAATCATCTAGATCTTGCAAAAATATATATAACTCTAAGAAAATCCCTACCTCAAGTTTTGAAGAAGAAATGAGATGAAACTCCCAAAATTAACGGTGTCCAAACTCGATCTTCACCGCACACAACGAAGCCCTTGAGGAGCTCACCAACTTTGATGAAGAACTTAGGTCAAAATCCCAAAGGATTTGAAGAAATCGAAGATCTTGTGAGGTTTTTGGTAGGAAATGTTGAGAGAAGGGAGAGGAAATGTTTTAGAGACAGAGAGAGATATACAAAAGTGATTCAACTTCAGCCCAAAGAGAGAAGAAAATGGAAAAAATTTCAGATCTCACTAACCCACCGCACTTCACTCCCGCACCTACTTTTTTAGCAGTGTGCAAGCTGTGCTCTCCCCTGAAATCCGCACATGCGGCTTGCTCTCCCACTCGAGTGGACAAGCAACTTTGAATGCATTTTGTATTTTTGTTTTGGGGGTGCTACCCCTCAACCCCGCCAGGGCGCTGCCCTAAGACCCGTTAAGGGGCGCTGTCCCCTGGACCCCCACGAGCTGATGACCCCTGCCAGGGCGCTGCCCTTGGACCCGCCAAGGAGCGCTGCCCCTGGACCGCCGCGAGCTGACTAGGCAACTCGACCCCCGACATGCTCAGCAAAGTGGAAAAACTGGGATCGTTACAACCTTCCCCCATTAAAGAATTTCGTCCCCGAAATTTCAAATCAACTACCCAAACAAAGGGTTTCTAGTGATCAAAACCACGCTATTTCATTTTCAAATCACAATACTAACTCTCAACCAAATTCCACCATTTCCACCATGGTTATCTCATTAACGACAACCTCCCAAATACGCATAAACATGAAATTTCTCAAAAAGTAATGGCAACTCTAAACAACTTTATGCTTAAAACAACAACACACATATCAACATGTGGTTAACAACTTTAAATACGTTTCCCTCAACACTAGGGAATATTACAAAGAAAAACAACTTAAGCATTTTCAAATAAATTCAGATATTTGAAGCGGACTTCTGCCCCCCGTTCCCACTTCGCTTCTTCAACCCCATGGTGTCTCCACGACACCTTTACCAACGGTATAGTTTTTCCTCGTAGCACTTGCTCCCGGGTATCTAATATTTGAATCGGTCGTTCTTCGTAAGAGGCATTCTCATCTACCTCCAAGTCAACCCAATCAAGAACATGTGAAGAGTCGGGTTCATACTTCCTAAGCATAGATACATGAAATACGTTGTGAATTCCCGAAAGTTATGGTGGTAAAGCTAACCGGTATGCCACTTCCCCAATTCGCTCTAAGATCTCAAAAGGGCTAATGAACCTTAGAGATAATTTACCATTCTTACCAAATCTCATCAAACCCTGCCTTGGTGAGATTTTTAGAAACACATGGTCACCAACTTCAAAAGATAAAGGTCACCTCCTCTTATCGGCATAACTCTTTTGTCGGCTTTAGGCCGTAGCTAACCTCTTTCAAATGAGAACAATTTTCTCGGTTGTCTCTTTAACAATTTCCGAACCCAGTAACGGTGCATCACCCACTTTGGCCCAACAAACCGGTGATCTACAAGGTCGGCCATATAAGGCCTCAAATGGTGCCATCCCAATACTAGCTTGCTAACTATTGTTGTAAGCAAACTCAATCAATGGTAAGTGCCTTTCCCAAGGCCCCTTAAAATCAAGGACACAAGCTCTAAGCATGTCCTTCAAAATCTGAATGGTACATTCTGATTGTCCATTTGTTTGACGGTGATAAGCGGTGCTAAGAGTCAACTTAGTTCCCAACGCTTCTTGAAGGCTTTGCCATAACCGGGCAGTAAAACGAGGATCCCTATTCGGCACAATAGTCACAGGGACTCCATGAAGTCGAACTATCTCTATAATGTACAACTCTGTTAAGTGTTCAACTGAGTTGCTGGTGCACATCAGAATGAAATGGGTAGACTTAGTCAACTTATCAACAATCACCCAAACGACGTCATTGCCTTGTTGTGTTCTAGGAAGCCCAACTACAAAATCCATGGTAACACGCTCCCATTTCCACTCGGCTATTGGTAAGGGTTGTAACAAACCCGCTGCTCGTTGGTGTTCGGCTTTCACTTGTTGACAAGTAAGGCACTTCGATACAAATTAAGCGACATCTCATTTCATATCCCTCCACTAAAACTGACGACTAAGATCATGATACACCCGGGTGTACCGCAAGGCATGAGTGATGGAACTCCCGAAGTACTTCCTCTCTACAAGATTCTGGTATAAACAAACGGTCTAGGTAACGTACACTCAGATCCGAGTGAACGTTCAAACATTTCTCTTCCTTTCCATTGAAAATCTTAACACGGATTGATTCCACATCACGGTCTCCTTGTTATGCCTCTATGACCTTACTAACCAAGGTAGGTTGAGCATTTAAAGTAAACAAGGTAGCACTCTCTCCGGACTCACCCAAGTGCAAATCAAACTTGCTAATAACATCTAGCATATCCCATTCCCGAATGGCCACGCTTGCCAAACTACTCACAGATTTTCGACTCAAAACATCGGCCACCACATTGGCTTTTCCCGGATGATAGTGTAACTTAAAGTCATAATCCTCCATAAATTCCATTCACCTCCGTTGTCGTAAATTTAAGTCTTTTTGAGAAAACAAATACTTTAGACTCTTATGATCGGAGAAAATCTCAAATTTCTCACCATACAAGTAATGCCTCCAAATTTTCAAGACAAAAATCGCTGCCGCTAATTCTAAATCATGGGTGGGGTGATTCTTCTCGTGAGTTTTCAATTGTCGTGATCCGTAGGCCACAACTTTTCCCTCTTGC